TATATATATATATATATATATATATATATGTGTGTGTGTGGAGAGAGAGAGAGAGAGAGATACACATATAAATCTATATATATTGTTGTAATCTATTATCTTTTAGTATTTTTGTTTTTCTTTCAGAAACACGTGAATTATCGGCAAAGTGAAACCAAACGTGAAGCTTTTATTTCCCGGCTCCTCCAATCATCGCTCACCTCTCTCCGTCTTCCAGCCAATTGGAAGCGGCCGCTGCCTCTGTGGGCGTGACCGTTGTCGTCAGATCCAGCAGCATGCTCAGTGCGTGGAGTTCTTCCCTTCCCGTGTTTTTTTCCTGAGTGGTGATTTAGCCAAGATGAGCGGAGTTTGCAGGGAAGTCATCACGCTGCAGCTCGGACATTATTCCAACTTCGTGGGAACCCACTGGTGGAATTTACAGGTGAGGAATCACGGAGCGGCTAACCAGGTTAGCTAGTAGCTCAGATGGTCCGCAGCAGAAACTGGAGTTGAACTGGTTTCCATGAAGTTTCCAGTGTCTGTTATATTATCCAGGAACAAGAAGTAACTCTGGGAGAAAATTAGTTCTGCTTTTAGAAATGTTAGTTTTTGTTTTTTTGGTTTAGAAACGAACACAGAGTTAAAGAACAACCTGGAGCTCATCATCACAGGCCCATAGCATCACACTCCCACCACCATGTTTAACCTCTGGGCCATGTTTTGGACCCAGGTCCATCCAGAATCCTGCAGGCTCAGGGTTCCTCATCTGCCCCATCAGATGAGGAACCCTGATCCGATCTGTAAAGGCAGAATTAACTAGAAATATGTGGTTGTGACTCCAGCGTGGCTCAGAATCTGTTAATCATGTTTCTATATTTTTTCCTGCTTTGGTTCTGGTTCTGGTTGAACGTGTCAAACGGACTCTGGTCTCGTTGGCAGGATGCATCTTTGTCGTATGACCCGGAGTCGCCCCTCGCTGAGATCCAGAGTGATGCGGTGTTCCGGGAGGGACAGACTCTGGGTGGACAGGTCACCTACACGCCTCGGCTCATCTCCATGGATCTGAAAGGTATGGAGCGCTCCGGTTCTCCTGGTTCAGCCGTTAGGCCCGTTTGGACCCGCCTCTTCTCTGTCTGTCTGCACAGGAAGTCTGCGGACTCTGCGGCAGGAGGGGAACTTGTACGACCCGGGAGCAGGAAGCTCTGCCGTCCCCTGGTAAGCAGCGCCTCCAGGTGGCAGTATGCCAGCGGCGTTCCTCCGCGCTGACGTTAAATGTGTCGTTGTCAGGGAGGGAAGCGTCGCCATGCACAGGCAGAGCCCTCCGCAGAAGAACTCCTTCCTGGAGGATCTGGAGAAGCTGGATGTAAGTGT